CCAGTCAGCCAGTCAGCCAGTCAGCCAGTCAGCCAGTCAGCCAGTCAGCCAGTCAGCCACTTTCTAGTTTTATCTTTTCTGTTTCTCATCAATAGATAACATAGCATCAAAACTTCCGGTAAATTCCTCTTCTGCCACCAGCATGGCATTTCTTGCAGTAGATGGTAATCCTGACACATGTTATTACTCACGCAAGGTATGAATGTTCACTTCGCAGTAAACAATTTTATGGACTATTGATATTTAAAAGGCCAGAAAAAAGTTGTTTTTCGGGGCATAAAAAATCTTGAAAACAACCAAATGGGTAAAACCAAGGCATAGACTTGAACATAATTTTTTTCCTGTTTCAGTTTCCATGTCATTCCCTAGAATTTTTGCTTTGAGAGGGCGTGGTCAAAAAGGCCTATCAAAAACCTATTTCCGTATTCGACTCAGAGTGGTGTTTCGTTTACGTTCCATGTTTTTCATTTTCTCTTTTCTTTACTAAATCAAAGTAAATACCTCTACAAGAAAATATTTGTTATGCCATAGCCCCTTCCTCTATCATAGGAGGAGTACTTTTAGTATTCCTACTGTCTTGGCAAAGTCGACTAAATTTCTCAGACTGATTTTAAAAGCTTCCGTCAATCAATCAATAAATATACCCTCTATCTACCCTGTGAGTTTCTTCAGTGTCCAGATGGCGACCAAAACACGAGAAAATAGGAATAGTACTTCCTACGTTCTCTGAGACGCATACACAAAGAAAAAAAAAAGAAAAAAGAAAATAGAAAAGAAAAGAAAACTAAAAATAAAGAAAAAAAAGTCTTTACTCTTATAAAATTTCCTTTAATTTTCAGTCTTCAAATCCTTGGTTAAGCATTACGCTGCCTAAAACAGCGTACGTCCATAGAGTAAAGATAACCAATTATAAAGGCTGCTGTAACATTCCATACGCTTCGATGGAGGTGACGGTTGAGCGGACATTAAATGCTGTTGTAGCAATATCAAAACAATGCGGAAACAACCAGCCATTTAGTGGTGATGTTCTATCACGTCAATTTAAATGTCGTCCACCAATCTTTGGAAGCCGCGTATTTATTCGTCTGCATGGTGATAACGTCACATTAGTACTGTGTCGTGTTACTGTGGCAGCTTTTGGTAAGTACTGAGTCATAAGGAGTGTCCTTGACCCTGAAGTCAGTAAATTAAAATTAATTTTTTGATTAGCTGACTTATAAACCTTATAAGGCTTAACTTAGATAAACCTAGTTATCAAACTCATTAATAATTCATGAGGGAAACACAACAGAAATCACGACCGTGAAGAGTGTTGTAAATCTGATACAAAAGTGTGTTCGTTTGCATAAACTTTAAGTTGGATTTTCTTGGCCAAATTCACTTTAATTTTGAAAATTTTAGTGAAACACAAAGGAACTTACCTAGACGTTTGATAAGTCATATACAGTATTCGTGTCCGTGTTGTATCAGATATACAATCACTCGGCTACGCCTCGTGGCCACTCATACTGTATATATTACATAAAACATGACGCCGAAGGTAAAGAGGTATATATATTTGTTATTGATAGTATAACTTGTTTTATTTWTTTATTTATTTTACATTAGATTCTGTTGATGAGGCAAAGGGTGTACATCGTCAGATTTGGTACAAGCTTATAAACACACAAGGAATGTCTTCCATCAGAGAAAACATTGCTTTCAACTCTGTCCCACATGGTGCAACCCTGTCACGAGATTTTGGTTCTCAGTTTGAGGTGGCTGATAATTATGGAGAGATGCTGACGTCCTTTTTGCAGGTATAAACGTGGATTCCATTCGATGACTATAGCTCTACCATAACAAACTAGTTGTATCCATATTCGTGTGTATCCTCATGTGCAACCATTAAACAAAGAAATAATACTCTAGGGAATAGGGAATAAAAACAGCGGATTAGGTATATTTCTATTTTTCTGTAGTTTTCAGTTGACTTCTCTTATTTGTTAGTTTTTAGTTAAATTTCAGGGTTTTTCTCAGTTGTCAGTAATTTTTTGTCAGCAACATTTCGGTGCAAACAGACTGTTTTTTTTTTTAGTGGACTGGCTGGTCGGTTGTATTGAGCTTTTTTCTTTATCGATCAATTTCAGGTTCCTTTAAGTGGCAATTACACCTTTCATTTAAGCTGTGGTGATGAGTGTGAACTATGGATCAACGAATTCCATGAAAATGGCCTTCTGTTTGACAAAGGAAGTATTAACAGTGATGTAGGGCAACTGTTGGTGCGGATACAGAAATGGGCTAGTTACAATGACAGTCTTGGGTATGTAATATTAAACATGACAGTAGAGAGGAAAACTACCTTAAGAAAGATGGAAAGGAAGATAGAAAGGAGAAAAAATAAAAGAAGAAAAGATGACAGAAAAKGAAAAGAAATGAAACAAAAGACGAGAATAGGGGAAAATAGAAGGGGAAAATAGTATTTTTGAAAAGTTTTTGGATATGACACTAGTAATTCAGCAAAACATCTTTAAATAAAGGAAGTCCAAATCGATTTTGCCATCCAGTAACAATCACGTATCAATCTATTGCGAAAGGCCTATTGTTTCATATTTGCCGTCAATACCAAATATCATATCTAATCTCCACTAACTTGGAAAAGCATATGATTTCGTTAGCACATCGTCACCTCTTCATTTATCATGTCAATTGAATTACAGCTGTGTAACTGCCTCAACCACCAGTAAAATCTACCTCACCAAGTGTAGAATCTACGAAATGAAGCTTTATGTGAAAGAAGGTTCGAGTTTTCAGTGTTTAGCTGTTGGCATGACAACACCAAATGGGAATATTGAGCACCCAATCAAAAACAAGTATTTGTTTTGGATGCAGCCTGGTGGGTATAAAAGGGCTTATAGTGARTTTATTTTAAAAATTTAAATCTGAAATGGCAATAATATTTTTGTGTTAAAAGGTTTTTTCTGGTTAAAGTGAAAACAATATTATATTCTTCTTATTCTTTCGCTCTCTCTATCTCTTTCTCTTCTCTCTTTTAGGCCAAAGGATACTGACTTTTACGATGCTAGGTCCAACAGTACTGGAAGCAGACTTAGGAGAAACTGTTTCGATAAAAGGTAGTTTTAAAGCATCTGTATGTGGTATATACGTGATTTACTGACCAGGAGGTACGGACAGAGAAAAGCTGTACCCCAGGTGTTGAATATACGGACCAAAGCCGTTAGGGCAAGGTCCGTTTTGAAGACCGAAGGCACAATTCTTCTCTACCCGGACCGACTTTAGGCCGATAAATAACTCATTTTTGTTTTCCCCCATTTACTTTTCCACTTGTTTTGCAATTTGTTTTGTTATTTAACAGTCCTTTTCCTCTTACCCACGATATTTAGGATACTGGACCGGAAAAAGATAAAAACATTCCTATTTTGTGCACTTCACTATCGACTGATAAAAATGTATGCATGCAAGACTATTTACTATCTCATAATACACACCCCTAAGTCTAAATGTTGTTTTCCTTTACAGCACGCTATACCTTCTGTTGCCATGGGATACATTGTCCTAACTGTTCTCTCACGGTAGACTTTCATGTTTTTGGTAAAGTTTTTGACGTAAGTCGATCCTTGAAAGCAACTTGTGAAGAACACCTGTTTAGTGTACAGCTAGATGCAGTCGTACAGCCAGGAATACACGAAATGAAGGTGAGTTTAACTGTTTAGATTCGTTGAGTAGCCTCTTCCGCGTGGGAGTAATGTTTTCCCATTCATACCACGCAGTTCATTTTCTTGAGGATACAGTAGCGGATCCAGGGTTTCAAAAAGGGGGGTTACAAAATAGCCGCCACGCAAAAAAAAAAAAAAAAGCTGGTAAGATTGGCTTCACTAAAGGGGGGTTCCTATTTCATTCTTCTGAGCGTAAAGAGCATGATGGCTTCACAAGATCAAACAAAAGAGGGGTTCTATGTAACCCACGGAACCACCCCTGGATAAGCCACCAAAATAGTATTTTTGTTTGAGTTGTATGTGTCTTAGAATGTGTCTTCTCATGCACAACCGTTAAACAAAGAAATGATAATCTAGGGAATGACACGTGGCCGGTCTGAAATGGGAAAACACAACGCCCAAGCTTAAAAAGGTCTATTGCTTTGCCTAATTTGCTTGATCTGATCATTTTGTACACCATTATAGATTCTATACACTTTTACTGGAACCCCCAAGAAAGAAAAAGGTCAGAGAACAGTAGGCCAAATCAACGTGAAAGGTGAGTTATTTATCTCCAAGTACAATTTGAAAAACACTCAAAAACTGGCTTAATGGACTACTGCGGCCATTTTTGATTGCAAGGCATTATGGCTCTTCCATGGGCAAATAAAGTTTTGTTACAGCGCTGTTAACAGCTCTCCATAAGAGAATACAACAAAAGATGAATAAACACGTTACATTTATCACCTTTACCCATAAAAATGACAAATACACGAAACTCTATATATTTTCTGTCGTCTTTGTTTTGTTTTGCCTCGCTGGTAAGATGGTCGCCGCATTTTCGAAGTAGTCCATTCCAGAAATTTAATAACAAAAGAAAATGCATTCCTTCTTGTAGCGTTTAATAAAAGAAGTTAAGTGCAGGCTGCGGTCACTCGCGATCTTCAAAAAACCTAGAGAATTGGCGGTAGAAAAGATTCAGTCTTTTGTTATGCTTTAACTCTATCAATGTGTTTTCTCCACAAGTTGTCCAACGTGCTATTTTCTTTTACTAAATACAATGCAATTTGACTGCACGTACATATGCACATGCGAAGGAATCTCTGGAAACCCTGATTAGTGCATGATGTAAATATTAGCTAATATTTATATCCATAGTTGCTGTTTTGCAAAATGAGACTTTTACGAAGGGTTTCGGCAAATGGTCCACAGATTCACAACCGAGTTGGAAAACTGATAACTCATCAGACGGTAAGTAATCTAACAAAAAAAGAGCATTAAGGTGGCTCGACTGGGTTTTGTTTGTGGCGTACCTTCGAAGTTTTAAGGGGAAATGCGTCGCTGCCAATAAGTTAATTTCAAATAAATTGTTATGACGTAAGCTGAATCAACAAGCCAAAAACTTATCAAGGGATTTCAGTCTCTAAATACGGTGTAAAAAAAAAAAAAAGCTTTCGTTGCATGTTGCATGTTGCACGTTGCACGTTGCATACTGCATCCTACATGTTGCATACCAAGCCCGATATGTACTGTGATGTGAATCCAATCAGCGAAATGTCACAACGATATGGAATTTTCCAATACTTTGAATTGTCTGCACGTCTTTCCGGTATATTTTTCTTCTGTGCTGACATTATTTACATATATTACATTATTTGCAGAACTCTATGCCTTCATTGATGGGCCATACTCATCGAATCTGGAAAGTCCTGTCTTACCATGGAAACAATTTTACAGCCAAGTTGGCCTCTGTATTGACTTCAGTTACCTAATGCCTAAGCCAAAACCAGCTACCTTAAAAATATTCTTAAATATCACTGGGATTAAGTCCCAGCTGTTGTGGTCTCTGAGTGGTTTCCATGGAAACAAATGGAAGCGCGCACGAGTGTCATGGCAAGCAAAAGAAAATTCATTGGTTGGTATTCTAGTATTAATCTTGAATTAATCTTTTTGTATTGTTAATTAAGGTTGAATGTTTCATCAATTTCATTTATTGATATATTTAACCGCCACACCCCATACGGGGCTCTCGCGTGAGGTTCTTTCCACCTGCACTACCACTACATTATATATTTACAACATACGACATTCAACTTACATGTTGATTTTTACGGAGGGAGGAAACCGGAGAACCCGGAGAAAACCCTCGTGGCAAGGGAGAGAACAACACATCAAACAAACTCAACTCACACATGATCCAGTCTGAGCCGGGGCTCAAACCCGGACCACAGAGGTGAGAGGCAGGCGGTAAACCACTACATACGCCACCCTTGCCATCCACATCGTTGAATCGAATTCATCGTTGGACCTTTTTTCTATTAAAAAACCATGTCAATTTTAGCAGTTTTGCTCTTTACTTCCCAGATCGTGATCCGAGGAGAGTCTTCAGTTAACGCGATAAGCGTTGCTATAGATACGGTTACCATAACGACCGAAGCTTGTAAAGTGCGACCATCATACGCTTTTCCAGGTAATATATTTCTAGTTTTCTAGATACGTATTTCTCTAAAGCTACTCCAGCATATAGAATATATCTTCCCACGTGTTCTACTATTTAGTGCTCTGTTCAGTGGTTTAACAACAAAGCTGGTTATGGTTTCACTACAATTTCCGATGAGGAAATTGAAAAAAATGAATATAAATGCCATTCCTATCAATACTAAAAAGGCAACGAAGTATGGCCTAAAAGTTTTGCTAAAAGTTTTGCGTGAATTACTCACGCAAACTAAAAGTTTCTGTTTGTTTGTTTTTATTGAATTATTGTATATAAAAATAAGTTACTCTGTACACAAGTTGGTATATGCTAAAACAATTATTCGCCTCAGGCTCAGTGAATATGGAGAAGATTTACCTCGCCGCTCGAAGACTCGCATCTCGATAAATATTCCCCGATATTCACTTCGCCTTCGTGGAATAATTGCTAATTATTAGTTATTTGTTTTGTTTTATTTAACCTTATTCACCTTTATTTTCCCCTAGGTTTTACGTGCAATAAGGACGAGTTCCAATGTGCTAATGGTCACTGCATAAGTAACAATCAAAGGTGTGATAATGACTTTAACTGCTTGGACAACTCGGATGAAATTGGATGTAAATGTTTGGTAAATGAACTAACGTGTCCATCAGGAAAATGTGTGAAATCAAGGAATCTTTGCGATGGGACAAAAGATTGTGAAAATGGGTTAGATGAAAAGAGATGTGGTAAGGAAGTCAATACTAGAAAACATTTAAAGTAATTATCTTGACTGTCACAGCAGATATAGACCTCTTGCAGCACGTCGGAATKCAGCTCAATTTGGAGGACATAACAAAATGTTTACAGTTCTCACCACATGCAAGGGGTCTATTGGCTGAGACGTTACTGACTTAAGCATGTACACGGTACGATATGCCGTAACATTCAAATGGCTTAACATCGTATGAGCGGAGAGACATACGGTACTGATTAACAGCACGTATACGGTAAGACATGCCGTAACATTGAAAAGTCTTGACATTGTCTTCCAGTAAGTCATCAAATTACAAATACATAGCTAGGGTTACGGTAAAATACGGTACCGTAACACTACGACCCCGGGGTGGGGTGGGGGGGGGGGGGGTTACTCTGCCAGGATTTGGGTAGGCGTGTTCCGATGGGATTCTGAAAGGGGTACCCTGTTTATTGTTTTTTTGTTGTTTTTTTTGACGACCATAA